CCCCAAAACCCCAAAACCCCTCAAATCAAAATAATCTATTTTTATTAAAAAATAATTATTTTTAATAATAGAATTATAAAATTCAAATGGAAAATTAGCAGCCAAAATTAAACCCACCATCTTCTTGGTTAAATATCGGAAAGTCTTTTCATAAAAATGCTACTTAGACTGCAGAACTACCAAAAAGAGAAAAAATGATTGAGGATAATAAGAAGATACCTAGCACTTAACACAAACGACCAACTGCTGCGGAACTTATCTCAGATCAATCTTCCTCAGATGGTGATTCAAAACATTATAACTCTGCAAAGAAAGTCAATAATTCAATGCAAGACAAATTAGCACTCAGAGTAGAGAAAAAGAAAAAACGTGATCATAAAAAACTAGTGAAGCAAGCACTCAAGGAAAAGATACTTTAGGATACTCTGAGTAACGATCAGATTAGATACGAGTAAATAAAACCAAGCAATATAGATTTAGATCTGGACGAGAATCTGATAGACTCAGCTTTGAACATCCTAAATAAATCTAACGAGCCAAAACTTGACTTTAAAGACCCTGAGACTTAGATTAAAGATTTTCAGAAGATAGTCATACCAGGCACTAATCTAAGTATTTCTCAGAACAGGTATAAAAATGAAGAGATTTTTGCATTTGGTGGATTCATGGATAAAGACATTCCAATTTACAAAAGAGTAAGCAGTTGCCGATAAATCATAGGATTAGAGCATGAAAGAAGACTAAGTGCTCAAATTCTGATCGATTTAAATGAGAGATTAGGCTATTATAACAATAGAATACTTAAGAGGATTGCTAAGGATAAGAAGAGAGAAGGTAAAATGAGGTTTTACTAGGATATGGATAGTGTATTTGATGACAGTGTAAAGGTTTAAACTGATGCTCACAAAGTTAAGCAAACTGAATTTGAGTTAAAAAATCAGGTTGATTTTATATCTATCCCGCAGGAAATACAAAATATGGAAAAATCTGAATAGATTTCTGAGGAAAAGCAATAAATGGAAGATTACCTGTCTGGCAATTTGAAGATCAACTATAATTAAGATAAATCGATAAATCAGAAAGATATGAAATCTGTGAGCAGCTTAATGAATAGAATCACTAGAAATAAGCAGGATATCATGGCTTACATAGAGTATGTCTAACTATAGAATGAAATACATTTCAGTAAAAGTCATTTAAGAGTAGAGAAGTAATTAAGTATAATAGAGAGTGCTCTAAAGCATAACTAGAATTCTAAGATTTTAAATCTAAGCTATGTGATCCTAAAAAGCTAGACTCTGAACTCTAGAGAGGGAATATTTAATTTGTGGACTGGTTACATAAAATAATCTAACTTTGTAGATAAAAATACTCTTAACCTTCATCTTAGAATGAATGTTTATCAGTCTAACAATTAGGATCAAATAGGACATTAAAAGAATCAGATAATAGATGCAATTAAAATACTGAAAGTTCACTTGATTTCTAACCCTACTTGACAATCTGAATTATAAGGAATGATATATGATATGTTTGAACAGTATTGCAATTTAGATAAGCAGGCTGGCTATCCAGAAAGAGCTTTTAAGACTTATCAGGTTTTGATTGAATTCAAATTATCTAGATTACTTAATATTGAAACAAGTGATTATGAATATTTTTGTGGGAAGGAGTATCCTCATATTGGTGAGATGTTAGGCTTTAATGGATATCCTGATTTTATTAAATTAGCAGAGCAAGGAAAGTAGGACACAATTTTGGAAAATATGCTACCAAACATAATTAAAGAGGATGATAAAATCGTCAGTATTTAGGAAGACATATAAATTTCTGAAATTAAAGCTGAGAATAATGAAATTGCTGTGCTAAAATAATGGATTTAAAATGAAAAGCTTTAGTACTTTAGTCTAAGGCCAAGAAAGACTTATTTAGATGAGGATTTTATACAAATAAATCCTGAAAGCATAGTTTTCTATGATGATGTTAAAGAAATAATAGATATGATCGATATTAAGGATTACTTTCAACTAAATAGGATACTGCTGAGTTTAAATAAATTTCTAGAGATTCCATTAATAGATACACTTAATTGTACCACTTATTAGAAAAAATAACACTAACTAATGAGTAGCCAATTCGAAGATTTAAAATTAGATCAAGAGATAGTTATCTACCCTGGGTTCAATCATATTAAGTGTCCGCCTAAATAAGATAAGTGGTATCAATATAAGCTAGAGTATTCAAAAAATCTAGTAATTTAGCTGCTCTAACTTTTACCATAGTAGTTAGCTTAGATTAAAAACAAATTACAGTAGATTCTACTGAATCTAGAATCAATGATCTGCTTTTAATATAACCTTAAATTATCTGAAAGTTAACTGATAAAGGATATTCTGAAAGAAAGTCAAGATGATTTGCAGATGTACTTAATATACACATATCTATTACTGATAAGAGGAGGGGTCTAACAAAGCATAAAAGTTATTCTTATGCTATTAAACTTTCATAAGCTAGACATGCAAAGTCAATTTAGGATTTTAAATTTCATGTACAGATTTCATCAATACTTTAATTTTGATAAGCATATTCCTATACTAATTGGATCAGAATTAATTAAAGAAGGCTCAATAGTAATTCAATATGAGAAATATTTAAATAAAGATTACTAAGTTAGTATTGTTCAGCTACTTAGTTCATTCAATGAAATGGAGAGATTCAATAAGAATGAAATCAATAAAAAATTTAAGAGTTAAATCCTCGTTGAGATTAGCACTTTGTTCAAGATTTAACTGTAATTGACATTATATTAATAGCAAGATCAGCTTAATCAAATTATATCTACTCAAGAAGTAATTCTATAAATGAATGAGAATAACCAAAAGATTTCAAATGGGTAATAATCATAGAGATGCTAGTATTGCTAGTAAACACATCAAGGTGATAACTTTGCGAGTGACTATTCCAGACTCTTATATTTCAATAAGGATCTTTTTAAGATTAAATAGTTAAAATTGCATATTGAATGGCTAATTTCAAGCCAAAATAGTGGATATTCTGATAATTAGATTCTTTTACGCAACTACTTTCAAACGAGCTACTCTTATATGTCTTCTATGGAGAGATAGTTTCAATTTAATTAAATCACAGATTGTATGAAATAAAATGGACTGTACTCAAAGACTGTTATTAAGAGTTTTTTGAGTTACGAGATTGATAAAATGTCCGCTAATAAGGATATGAAATTCAACAGGCTCGAAAGAATTCTGAGGATATTTAAACTATACTGGTCCAGTATGAAACCTGTCAATGCGATCAAAGAATTATTAGAAGCTCAAATTAAGACCAAAAATGTCCAATTACTTAATGATTAAAATTCTAGATTGATACTTGAAGATGTTGAGGAAATATAAATGATATGGAAAGTGCTTTTGAAATTTCTATAGGAAGAGACAGTAAATTAAAATGATAAAGATAGTGTATAAAAATACAAAGATTATTTGCTATTGTATATTGATTATTTTGCTTTTGACAGGAATAAGATCTTAGATTTTTTTCAACTATTTGCCGAATTATAGTCATCTAAGTTTAAGGATATCATTATGGAAAAGGAGTTAGAATCTATGAGAGATCTTTATATTCAAAAAGGTTTAAGAATAAACCAGAGTGGTCTAATTGATGATATTCCAATACCAAGCACAAATTAAATCTAGTCAGACCATTAAAATGTTAATTAATGATTAAAGAATATTCGAGTGATTAATAATTGTTGAAATTGGGAGCATGGGGTTTTGGGGTTTTGGGG